TTAATTTGTCATTGTATGATTTGTCTGCAGTATACAGACAATGATTACACAAGGAGAACGAGATGGAGAATTGCTTGTACTCCAGGTCAACTCACAAGCCTGTGATGTTATGATTTATGGCTTTCACCTTAACCCCAAGGCCCCCAGGGCACCCCGGAAAAAATCCCTTATATAAAAAGAATACCAATCCGCTTGTATTATGGTATGTCCCCAACAGTCCCCAATTTGTATAGTTGGGGACTGTTTACAGGTGTGGTTTAACCTACTTCGGTAGTTTCCTTGTGGTTATGAGAGCATGTCTTATCAATGCAGTAGAAATGCCCTAAATGATTGATGTTTCTATAGTTGGGGGGAGGGGGGGGATATTCTGTGACAACTTTTTTGTGGTGAACACAAAGGAAGGCGTATAGTATTTGCAAGGAAACAGTTTGGTTCCTTTTGAAAAGGCTACTGCATAACAAACTTAGAAGCTGCTAAGTGTGATTCCATAAGGTATAAATGAATCCGTCCCATTATTTAAATATGCTCCAACATTTTATACGGTTTCCCTTGGCTCACACAACACCCTTTCACCAAGTGTCCTGAAAATCGCACTGTTCGTTTCCTGCTTTCGAACAAAAGAAAACACACAGAAAAGTATCCTCCTTGGCTGAGGTAAAAATGGGATTATAAATGTAGCCACAGTCGTGCAGCGCTGTCCTCCTCCGGTCTCATCCCAGTGAGGTAGGATGCCTTTGAGTCAATGTCCTTTCTCTCACCTTTACTCAGTGCTGTTACTCATTCCTAACCACCTGTCCTCCCAGTGTCACCAGGTGAGCTCCTGGCTGTATTTTCTCTTATTATTTTGGATGAAATAGGCTAGGCCTTAAGGCGGAGGAAAGTTATTACCCTATTGCAAGAAGGGGCCCCACGACCTCCAAGGTGATGTAAGGACAGTGGATCAACTCTTGCGGAATATTAAGTAATGCCATGGTGCAGTGGCGTAACAAGGTTGTGATTGGCCCCGGTGCAAATATTGTTTTGGGCCCCCCCATCGCCTCAAACATAAGCGCACGCTGATGCACTCACACACGCACGGAAATACACATAGTTACACCACTGCCATGGTGGCACATGCAGTGCTTTTAATACATGTTCATATCTTAGATGGATGAGGTAATGTTTCTGTAAATCCTCACCTGGCTTCAAAGTAGATTTATACTTATCCCAGGATTGAATTTTGATCCCATGAGGATATCGCTGATCAAATATGTAACTTTATACTGTGTCCTATTACTAAACAGCTGTCAAAGCAAGTTCTCGTGTTTCTGGGAAATGTTTTGGTTAAATTGATTTCAGGGAATTTTGGGCAAATAGTTACTTTTCCGACATCCTTAAGTCTTGCTTATACTCTCTTTTTACCAACCAACCTCTGTCTTGCTTTATAGACGACCCTGTATGACCCACTGTATACACAAATAGATCTATAATTAATTCAAGGAACCACTTGTTGACTACATCATATTATTGACACCAGGCACTCAGCCTATAATGGTCCTTGACAAGTGCTGTCATAGCAGGACGTTTCCCTACTTAAGCGCTATCTACACTCTATAATCGCCGGCCTCGTTCCCGTACTCTTTTGTCACCACGCTAATCCAATAAACCACCTATGCTGATCTGACGTCTTGCATAACGGCGCTGGGATAGCCAACCCATGTTTCCCCCGGTGACCAGATGACTACGGGGTGCCAGTTATATTTAGCCCTGCAGCACATGCTTAGGAGAGAAACTATCAGGAGATGATGGCGCGAAGAAGGAAAGTTTGGCAGTCGCTCCTCCGGTAATCCTCTCTGCAAAGCCAAGTGGACCATTAAAATAACAAGACCTGTCATTTAAGGTTCAGGGTTTGTGTAACATCAGTGACGGAGTGCCAAGCAGAGTAAGATGAGAATGCTAGAGGGGAAAAAAATCTGAGAAAGTTGCGAGTGTGTAAGCCTTTTGTCTCTTCCTGACTTGACAAGGAAGAAATACTGCAGGCAGGGGGAGGCCCGCAGGTTGCAACTGGGCCATATCCGCTATGAGTCTCTGGTTACAGGACCTCATGACTCTGCGTTTTGTTGTTGTTGATGTTTCTAACAGTCAGCCAGCTTCCCTTCATGTCACTTCTTTCCTTTTTTAAACTCCAGGGTTTATCTGTAGTTGTGGAAGCTATGCTATGCCTCCCCTTACCTCATAACTCCTAACACCACTACTACCTTCCACATGCGAGGGAAGGCCACGCAGCAGCCGCCGGATCACATGCATGTAACGTGAGAGTTTGGGAAAACTGTTGACTTAAGACTTTTACAGTAGTGCTCTCTTAGCAATGCTGAGGACATTAAGATAGATACATCAGATAAAACAGAAGGTCGGGTCATTTGAACCACGGGAATACTATTTTCCATCATTTCTCATTTTACAAACAAGATTATCCCTGTCAAATCTGCCTCTGTAGTCGTGTCAGATATTTCAACTTCAAATGCTACAGTTTAGCATAAGATTTCAGCCACCAACTGCTGTGACTTCAACAAATAATTAGGATTATTTTCATCATAAAATTGATTTATAAAATGTTTGTTAATGCCAACAGAAGTCTACGAATAAATCTCATAAAGCCCTTATGTCTTTCACTGTCTGACCAATAGACCAAACCCCAGTTTACTGTTTTATATAAAGAAGAGAAGTAAATAGTAGTAAGCAGTAAATCCTGCTATCTGAGAAGCTTTAAGCTGCTAGTATTCTCTCTTTTCTTTTTGCTAGCTTCATGAAAACGATTTGTTCTATCAGAATCAGAAACGGGTTTATTGCCAGGTAGGTTCACACATACGAGGAATTTGACTTGATGTCATGGTGCATACAGCAAATATAAAACAAAGGATCGAATATAAAACAAAAACTCTTTAAGGACACTGTAATAAAATATAGTTAAGCAGCAACAAAATAAAGCAGTAATTTACAGAGAAATGGAATACAATGAGTTATAGAATATGAAATTATTATCATACAATTATTGACCAACCAATGGGTATACTAATTCACCGTTACTTTAAACATTGGTAAAGCAGAAGTGCCAAATTTAATTTCATAAAGGTTAGTCCGAAGACTGAACGTATACCCTGAACATAATCATAATCGAGGCTCAGGCAACATTTAGCTGGGCTTCTTTACTAGCACCTATTTAGAGCACGGTGTTTAACAAGGTTTTCAAAATGAGAAATGTTAATGCTCTTCCACGATATCATTTCTCTGCCTTAAGTTTCTCCTTCCACACCAGGAGAAGTCTCCGTACGATGATATTTATTGGTTTACAAATAGCTGAAGTGTATTTATTATATGTGTTCATCATTTTGAGAGATGATGAAAAGAGGAAAGCTTTATTCGGGGTATTGGTCCTTTTGTCATTTTTAAATGTTTAAATGTCACTCTGTTTTCAAAAGAAAGATTCTTCTTTTCGCCGTCCCGCACTGCAGTAAGCAACTTCAAGCTAGAGGCTTGAGATAGTTCCAATGCAACCTCCCTAGACATCCTTTTTTCATGATGCAGCACCTGTCTCCAGCATGAAAGCTTGCATGTTAACTGTCCATCTGTGAGCTTTTCGATCTTGCCTACAGAGGCAAACTTAGACCCATGAGGCAGCTTGCCAATACAAATATAAACATATTTGTGAGTGGTTTTTTAAAAAGCAAAAACTGCATTGCTGAGAAACGAGCATCTCTGCGACCCACGTAGAGCCCTCGTATGAAGTGTTGGTTTAGCCTACATGGCTCCATCCCACTTTGTTGAACCTAGTGGGAGAAGGGTAATGCTCACTCTTACAGAAATTGAGAGTTAAGCAGTGTTATCCACCCCAATGATTGTGTAAAAAACATTTCGCAATGAACAGCTGCTTCTGCCAATGAAGCACATTAAAAAAAAAGTATTTTATTGACTTGTCAGTAATGCTTAATATCTGAGTGAGGAATGAAACAGTTCTCTAGGTTGTTCTTATGCATTTGGTCTGAACTTAAAAGCACAACACATTTGTTTCAAATACTTGCATGCTACAAGTCTTTACATGACACCACATTACTGTAACTGATCCTCACAGATGAGTCCTTCTACTGTTACTAACAGGATGTCAATCTAGACAGGAAATGCCCCTCTCTAACACGTTTCTGGCTACAAATGGAAAATGTTCATTGGCAGTTCGAAAAATCGGACTAAAAATAATTGACTGAGTGCTTGAGCATGTCACAACCACATTTTACAGATTGGTCTTTATACAAATAGAAGTTGAGGAAACTACAAGTATCTTAAAACAGACAACATGAGGAATGACTGTACAGTAGATATGTTGGTTTGTATGAGTCATGCTGTTAAGCAGTCAAGCCCTGTAATATTATATAACAGTATTTCTTTGAGCTGGCGTTATACTGTGGAGGCGGTTAATGAGAGATGTATTGTCAGTGGCATGTCATTTGGAAATCCCACTGTAGGACTTTTTAAAGCACTGCCACCCCCTCACTTCATTAAGATAATAATTTAAGCATTACACTGCTATTACATATTGCTCCTGATCTAAGGCAAGTGTATCATGTAGAGAAATACCAATGTCGGATCGAAATATTGTGACTGCAGTTACTACTTCAATGACTAATACACTGTGTACTCCATGACAAATACAATCGAATCAAAATCATTCGTTTTTAGTTTGACTCTTTCTCTTTTGAAAAGTTTCCCAATGAGACATTTTACAATACCAGCTTTATCCATCACAGCACCAACAACTTCTATGTTTCAGGTTTCTAAAGAACCAAGGTCAACTGTTTATAAAGTTTTGAATTCAGGGACTTACCTTTTACAGACTCTGAAGACTCCTTCGGGGACTTTTCGACACGCACCAACTGAAAGACTTCAAAACACCTTTTCATCTTACCTTTGTTTAAGCTCAAGGCAGATTTAGTTTCTTATAGAATGTCTTTCTTTCTCCCACGCTGCAGGATATGCGAAGACAGAGGACACAGCAGAAAGGACGTCCTTAGCTGACCAGGCGGATGCCCGGATGATATACCTCAACCAGCCGCAGTTTGCCAAGTTCTGCAACAATCGAGTCAGGTAAGGAGTTATTGTATTTATGGAAATGTAATGACGATGAAGACAAATATTCATCATCTGAATGATCAAGGTAGTTGCATTGAGGTAATATAAGTGTGGGAGCATAACTATCACTGTTGTAAACGTTAGTGCTGACCATTGTGTTTGGTATACATGTAGTATTACCACAGCTACTGTCCGGTGGTATTCCATGTGAACCTAATACTTGGGTGGTAGTAATGTTTGCATGGTCTACATTTAGAGTGGCCCTAGATGAACCCTGGTGCACGATTGCAGTATTAGGTCTGTGGTGGTCTGTTTGTACCTTCTTCAGAGTAAAATCCTTAGCGGCTTGTCGTTTTCTACGCCTCCCACATTAATTAAACTGACATTTAGCGCTTTCTTGTGTTCATTTGGTGCTGGAAAACAAAACCTCTCAAAGTGAACTATCAGTGCAGCCTCAATGGTGCAAAGGAGTGGAAGTACACAGTGGTCTGCTACACAAGTACATCCATATTCCTTCACATTTTGAGTAAATTGCGTCTCACTAAGCTAAGGAAGAAACACACTTCAAGCTATACAATCATAAAAAATGCCGGAAATATAGTGAGATTTTTAACACGAGATAAAGACACATTTTTCATGCTGTAGAGGGTTAATGAGCATCCGATGAGTATAAACCTCTGTCTTTAATTGCCATGACAACGAGCATCCCAGCAGTCACATGGTCGACCTTTAGCACTTCTCATCCAGCCTTTCCGGTGATATTATGGTGCATTCAAAGATGCTTTTCCTTTTCCGATGGCACTCAACATGAAGTTGTATGTAACTGCTTAAGAGCTCACATTTAAACTGTATTCTCTCATGGATTTGTCTGTTTGTGCTATTTTTAACTTGCTCCTGGCAACCCAGAGGCCATCACTGCTTTGCATGGTGACCTGCAGTATAACTTGCCACTTTGCCTTCAACCCTACATTAACCTTTAGAGTCACAAGCATAACGGTTGAATTGAAGAATGAATTGCTGCGTGGCGGCTATACTTAAATGTCAGCCTGGGGAAAATGTCTCAAAAGGAAGCTTTCTGTAAAATTCAGAATTCATTTTAAGGGTCCTTTTGAACATATGTTGAGAAAAATCATGTCTTAAAGGGAAACACATACTTGTATTTAACCCTATTAAGATGACTAAATACAATCCCCGAGTTAAAACAGTCTAAAGAGGTGTAGTTTTTAATGTGAGGAGCTGCTGGGCTGTATCGGGTACCATGACAGCCCCCTCAGCCATATGATATTTGATAAGTACCTGCAAGATTTGTATCACCAGTGACGCCTTAGTCCATTTTACACAGGCTGGATCTTTTTATGTTGTTGGTCCTCCTGGAGGAGTGCAGTGCTTTTAGCATTAAAGGTCAGGTTTGTTAGGTCAGTTCATCCTCTGTCAGTGAATATTACTGTTAGCATTCCTGCTGCATGAGTAGCTTGAGATGTGTATGTGCTTACAAAGACACTGCTGTATGAAGCAGTGTCTAATGGCTATCCCATTTCTTAGGTCAGCTTCGTTTATTGACATGACCAACAAGAGACACAAGCAGATAAGAAAATTGCAGAATATCTTCCTTTACTACGTTTTTTGTGTGTGATCTTAGCAGATGCGATCATGAATTCTGTTGTCTGTGTTCACTGATAAACACAGGAAAATATCACATTAGTTCCTTTATGGAAAGTTCATGCTGTTAACACACACACCCTCAACATTAGGCAGATAAAATGATCAAGGAGAAATCATCGTCACAGACTTCCCATTATTATATTTATCAGAAGTATGATAGCTGCTGCACTGACAGCCAATCCAATACTTGCTTTACATAAAATATCAATTTTATAATTATGTAAATTAACAGCAATATGTTTAAAGTGTGACTGTTATTTAGACTGTTTTTAGAGACACAAGAGACTGTTCTCTGAGATCACACTGAGCTGAATGGCAGCTTGCATGTTCACACATTTTCAAGCCGCAATTGTACGATCCTCTCCCTCAGATCTGATTGTAATGCAGCCAAGTTTTTTCTTTTTAAATGATTTCACTTTGTTAAGTGCTGCAGCGTTGTATCAACAGTGACGTACACAGCTTGCAGACAACTTGAGTATTTGCATTCTGAATATGCCCCAAAATGTGGCTGAAGCCTTGATAGCCCATCAGGCGTTAGACTGCTTTAAAGATCACATTTGTTCAAGAGAACTGGCTGCTGTCTGCCTCACAGTCTGTCTGCCACCTGTGGAGACACCTACAGGAGCTGGGTCGGCAATATATGGTGAATCTAATCTTACAAGCAGGCAGCCATCACAGGTTTTCTGCTTTCACTTGCTCTCATTTTCCCTCTGCAGCATCAATACCTGCCACAGCGTATGTGACTCCTGCTCCACAACATTAAGGCAGCCAGCTCTCTTTTGTATGCATGTGGAGTGTTTATTTAGATACTGGTAGATCTGGTTGTTTTGTAAAGGTTGTTAATCACTGAAATGTCCACAATTCATCCTGTAGCGAACAGGAGTGGCTGTACAAACACCTTTTGCTTTCACGTGTCCATGACATGCACATATTGATACGGTGAGTGAAGCAGGTAGGACCCAAACGCAGATAACACTTGATATAACCTTTATTTCAAGCTCTAACATAAACTTGGAACAGACAAAACACTCTCCGGTGAACTAAGTCACACACAAAAGAAGCACCAACACTGAACACAGGAGGAGACAAGACTAAATACACAGAAGGGTAATCACAGGACAAGAAACAGCTGGGCAGGGGAGGAGAAACACAAGGGCCACAGGTGAACACAATCAGATAACTAGACACACCAGGGAACGAATGACAAGAGGAAAAACACAGGGAAAAGGACCAGACAATAACCCAGAGGAAAACATGACATGGAAAACAGCAAAAACACCCAAAACTACAACCGTGACATGAACCCAGGAGCGTGACACATATTGCATGCTTTGTGTGGAAAACAAGAGATCATTCTGACATGCATGCATACAACAGACAGTCATGGACACCAACACACAAAAAGCACACTGACTTACTAAAGTGTGTAGTGTTGTCTGAGAAGAGTTCCTTAATTTGCCGTGGTCACTGTATCACATGACCTTGTAAACATTTCACCAAGTGGTATTTTAACATCTTTGTCCAACAACTCGTGGACTTTATATCATTATGACCACATTTGAGCTTCTCAGAGAAATTAAATACAACGTTTTGCACAGAATAAAGTTTCACTATCACATTTAACTGTTGAGAGGCAGTACTACTGTTGTTATACACACAAATAGACACATCTTGAAAGGCCATTAAACATCTGTAAAGAATAATGAACCAACCTGTTGTTCAGCTTCATGCAGGCTGCTGTATTTGCTAAGCTAAACGTGTAATATTTATGCTAAGTCAACAACTTGTCCGACCATACAAACACCATATAAAAATTCAGTATACAATTTGATCCATTCAACATATACAAAATATATAAACATCATTCTGAATGATACAAGGGTCTGCCAATGAGCTGTCTGAATAGACTGTGATTGTTCTGCATGAGCTTCAGTGGCTAGCTGACGCCTCGGGATGATTTGATTATCTCTCTTGTGGTTTACTGTACACTGCTACATCCTGCTGGCCTCAGATGGAAGAGATTGACCCACAAAGGACTATACTGTATTTGAAAAGTGTGACATAACCCGTTAGTATTGACTCTTGTTTGTAGCTTTTAGTTTATCTATTTTTATAGGATAAAGAAAACTGTATTTGGGAAGTTTATAAGAAGAGCTTCTGTAATTTAACAAGTAAAAGGAAGAAATGGTGTGGTTAGACTGATGTGTTCCACTTTGCATCCTAGAGCTTATCAGCGTTGACATCACAAGTCATGGTTTCTGATGCTGTTAAAGGTTTGTTTACTTAAAACACACGCATGCTTACAGCAATACAGGCCTACACTTGGAATTATGATAATGTCAAAATAGGCCTACATGATATTTTTAGTTTGTTGAAGTTTTGTCATGTTGCAGAACATCCTCATTGGCTCTCCTCCCGGCTTCTCTTTCAGTGTGGTTACATGTGACTTTAGTGCTATTCACCTGTCGAATTATGGAGTAGTTCAATTGTTACATTCTTTTTTTCTTGCATTTAAATCCACCCATACATGTTTCACTCCAATGGGAAGATCTGCGTTGTGTTTTGCTACGTTTAACTCTTCATAAAAGATGTTAGATGTGACGAAGTGTGGCTCAAAAGAGGAAAGAAAACACTTCATGACATGTCGATCTTCTTGTTTTGACTTGTCAGACAAACCAAAATACCGACTCATAATGACTTCCTGTAATTTCAAACCTTTCTACTGTGGTAGAAATGTTGCTAGATACTGCATTAAAAAAAAGGAGCGTCTCTCATGTTGTCTTGATCTTCAGGGCACGGCCAGGAAATATCATATTATACCCATAATCATCCATTAAGCAGATTGTTAAATGAGTTTGGGAAGTGAGACAGTGACCAGAGGCCTGTACTACGAAGCCGGATTTTCGCTTTGCGAGCTGACTTCGGGGGAAACTCTGGGTTTCCGGTCCTACGACGCTGGTTCACTTTTTAGTGGGCTAGATCGCCATAGTATCTTATGCTGAGCGGCTAGCCTGGTCCGGAGCAGGTTAGGTTTCAGGATAAGAGATCAACTCAGTGAAAGCACCGCCTGCTGACCAATCAGAGCTCAGTGTGCGGAGTTTAAAGCGATCAAGTCATATTACAGGAGAAAGGAAATACAGTTTAAACTGCCGTTGCAGCAAAGACGGCCGGCAAAAATCACCGACTGTGTGAACGTGAAAATGAATAGAATATCACCTCCCATCTTCAGAGCAATCTGACTTTTATAACATTAGCTTTAAGAAAGCTTACTTAAATATCAGCCACAACATAAGTAACCGCATCAAAGTAACATTACGTAAAGTCTGCGGCACTGTGAGTGCAGACGTCGATGTGTCCCATTATCATTCATATCACATTATCATTCATATCACATCCTAATCTATCATATTCCTTATTTGAGTCAGCTTCTTGAGCCGTATCTGGCCGTGCAACACTTACAGTGTCACATACTGTATGCAGAAGTATTAAGATAAGATAAGATCGTACTTTATTGATCCCAATTTGGGAAATTGTTTTTGTTGCAGCAGCATAAAAGACAAGGTGTTTTACAATAAAACAAAACTAGAAATAAACAAGAATAGAAAAAAAATAAAACATCGAAAATATACATGTAGATATTATATATACAACTATATACGTATATTTAAGCAATAGCTCACGACAGGACGTGGTATATGCTCATTATATCACAGCTAAG